AGAGAGAGTGTTGATCAGTATTTCACCATGGTGTTCATCTAGCTCACTGGGAATCATATATGTTTTCTGTCTGCTTCTGAAGCTCCTTAATACCACTGCTCTAGTCACCACCCTCTCCCTACACTGAATTTCTTCTCTAGCCAACAAGTAATTTTGTGATTCTCTGCCTTGGTACATGCAGTCATCTTTATTTAGAATTCCCTCTTTGCACTTTGTCAGCCTAATTAATTTTTTAAACTCATATCCATCCTTCAGGCCTAGTTCAAATTTTATCTCTCTTCTAAAGTACTCTCTGGCTTCACCTTACTCCCACTTACAATGTAACAGTTACTACCTCTTCTATAATTCCATAATTCTATTACATCAGTCAATAGGAGAATTGGCAACACAAATAACTAGAAATAATAGAATAGTGTAAAAGCCACCATAAAACAACACATGATTAAGAATGGTTAAAACAGAAAAGAAGAAACAAAAAATAAAATAACTAAACTTTTAGAAACAAAAAATATATTCACTGGAATTAAATCTCAATGTATGGATTAAAAAACAAAGTAGACACAGTTGAAAAGAGAAATAGTAAAATGGAAGACTGATCTGAGAAAATCAATCTCAGCACAACAATAAGATATGTAGAGAAGGAAAGCATGACAAATGGAATAAAATAAGTGGAGGGCAGAATAAGAAAATCCAATACAAGATAATTATAATTTCCTGAAGAGAAAACTTTGTGAACATAGAAGTTTTGATAATCAGATCAGTAACTGCAAGCCTACTTACCTATGGTCAGACTCTTGTTACCAGACAAATGTAAGACAGAGCAGATCACATAAGACACATTGCTTCCTTCCCAGTGGCATGTGCTTTGCACAGTCACTGTCCTGTTAATCTGAGGTTCATGAACAGTAGTGCAATCTCCTTCTGGGGCCCAAAAGATCTGTGCAGCTGACTTCCCTGAACTGCTTTGCAAACTGCAGTTCTATTCTTTCCTGGAAGAAGGGTTACCTCTGGGGATGATGTAGATAAGGACAGAAAATTACTTCCAATTTAATTTTTAAAAAGCGACAGAGTTTATCTATAAATGTTTACTAAAGATCTACTTGTAGTGCATAGTAGTTAAGGGCATGGCTCTGAAGTCAGATTATCTGGCTTCAAATTCTGCCACTACTGATTCCTAAGTGTGTAA